TGTAAACTCTCTTAAGGGTGTCTCAGGCCTCTGCTTTATGCAGAAAAGTTTTAATTTCAGATTTTTTCTAATTGTCATAAATATATTCAAAATAAATTGTCACATAAACCAGCAAAGCTTTGTATTTGCTAAAATGGAACCATCTCAGGTGGAGAAAATAAAAACCAGTTTATGTTGTGCTGTTATTACTTCTTAACAAGAACTCTGTTTCAAAGGAAAGCATCACTTTAGCAGGTATGTAGGACATAGATATCAGAACTATTCTAGGTCCAAATACAGATTAAATAATTTCTGTTTGACCGAGCATTTTCAACAATTATTATCTTCATATTCAGCTGATCTAACATTCAGAAAAGCTGAACTTCTATGAATTCTGATGGAGGGCTTAGCCACAGAGCAATAGATACCACCCACATAGAAGACTTCTTGCTAGTTAGGAGGACATGTATGCTAACCATCACTTACCATATTGTGAGTCAGTGGAGAGAAATCATGCAGCAACTGATGCTTATCATGATTAGTTTGAATCACCTGTCTCATTCCCCTCTGCTGCTACCTGGAAAGTTCTACTGACACTTCAGAATCTTAAGAATAAGTCCAAATCATCTGGTCATCTATGTATGCGATTTTTTTTTTTAATTTTAGTTACAGAACAATGTAAAATGTTTTATCCAAAGGTAGCAGGATTTTTGTGGGGAAAGAGGAACCTCGCTGAAAACTCTTTTCAAGGAGTCCCTCAGCGTCTCAGACTGCAAATCATTATGTAGAGCACGACATTCTTTTCTTCCAAGGTGAATCACTATGTTCCAGATATTTTGGATGAAACTGGCTCTAGCTACTAGTCATCGTTTCATGCAAATGGCTTAACTCTGAGCAGCATGGAGTTTGTACTGCGGGCTCAGGAGCCAAAAGTGTGCCGCAGTTCAAGAGAATGTGATTAAATCAAGCAGACAAAGAAGGATGCATTTAAAAAAATTATTTATTTCTATTACAAGAACTCTGTTAACTGATAAAGTAGCATTTTCAAATTAACTAAGTGAGACTCATTGTCTGAGCCAAGGTGCAGGCAAGCCTGGGAATAAGAACAAGGTATATAGTTTTATGGATGAACTCCCTGACATTTAGAGGTAGCAGCTGCATTCCAAGGTTGTAAATTTGGCCTCATAAAGCCTGTGCACTTTTTATACATGGGCTCTGATAAACACCCAGGTGTCAATGGCTTAGCTAAAGATGACAGTTTAGGTGGGGATTAGGTTGATGTCTGTAGTCACTTGAACTAAAACCTAGTTCAAATGGCTTGTATTTCATTGGGGTTGCCAAATACATATCTTCTCCAAACAGAGATATGCTGAGCAAGTATCTCAAGTTCAGGCAGAGATGAATTCCCTCAAGCCCTTCCTGTTCTCCACTCAGATCTCTGCTGCTGCCTTGTGTTCATTTATTCTCATTGCAGCAGAATGGCTACGGCGTTCTCATCACTGAGCTGCCTGTGGTACTAGAGCAAGACTGAGATTTTAAAGGTTTAAATAAACATTTGAGGTAGTTGTTTGAGGTAGGCCTTTTTGTGCTGAGTTGTTCTAGGCATCTCTCAGTTCAGCACCTTTTTTTTAGTGTTAGAAAAATAAAATAGACTGGTCTTCCTGTCTCAGACCAAATTAATTACATTTACTTTCAAAAAAATAAACCACCACCAACACTAAATCTTGAGCCTTTACATGGGAACTGATATGAAGGATTGCTTTCTGGATGGTTAGGAAATTTAGGTAGATTTATTAGTATCTGGGTTATTTTCAGTCATCTCATTTTTCTCACGTGTCTTTGCATTTGTAGAAATTTATGTAAAAAGGTTGCCCATTTAGGCTAAAAAGCCATTGTCCCTGCCCATATGTGTTGCTTCAGATGTTTTTTCTCCCTCTTTAGCATGGAGGAAACCTCATCCATAGAGTCTTCCCAGTCCAGTGAGAAAAAGAAATACAAGTTTTGTGCAAAGTAAGTGTACTTCTGGGAAATTCTCAAGTTCAGTTTTTGCTGTCCTGAGAAGTTCACATACATCTGTCTATATTTGACACCTTTTCCATAGGCCATCAGATTTGCTGCCATTTCAATGTTGAGCCTGTTTTCCCAAGGACAGTATTGCTAAGTCTTTGTGGGAAAAGGGGAGGAGAAGGGGAGGAGAAAGGAAGGGAAACGAATACATACCTTCCCCCGCCCCCCAAAAAAGAAAAAAAAGCACTGCAAAAATAAACTGGTCAATATATGTATCCTCCTGCTCTTATTGCCAAATCCATGCTGTTCAGCTCTGTGTCCTGGGCAAAATTAAATATTTATCTTTTGCAGGCCACTAACACACTTGACAGAACTATTGTTACCTAAACTATCATGCAAGACAGTCCTTGCTGGACTGAGGCAGCTGTTTGAGTAAGAGATGGGTGAATGAAACAGCACCACTTCTGAGATACCACTAAAGTACTGTGTAGAAACCTACAACTTTCCTACCAAAGGGAGCAGATGCTCTGTGTTCAAATAAAAGCAAGTGAAGTTCTGTCCTTGTTTTAATACTGTGACACTGTTACAGTATTTAAACAGACATACATGGAATTACATCCTCAAAAGATAGCCTGGAAAGGCTATCTGAAAGTCAAACTGAAACCATAATTAGTGACCAACCCTCAGGTTTTAAGGATTGCTTCGGGGGTTAATAATGAAACAATAAACAGCTTTCATACTGATATGTTCTTCCAAGAGAAGTGACAAAACCTCATTGCTTGAATCATCTTAATATGAATAATTGGTGACTAACAACAACAAAAAAAAGAGTAAGCCTAGTGAGGCATGAGCTGAGATTAATTCCAGTATTGAAAGGTAGGAAGGACACAAAAAGAGGGAGCTTCTCCCTGTTCTCTTCCTTTGTTGACTGGGACTTCACTACAGATTAGCAATAACATTTCAGAGCATGGAAGTACCAGGTGAGTGATACTCTTCATTATAATTGTAATCAAAATATATTTAATGCTTCTTTACTAAATGATCAGGTTTTCACCATTTTCAAAATTGGACTTCTATTACCTGAAGAAAAAAAAAACTCTAATAAAGGAACATAATTTTATAATTCTGGGACACTTTCACAGCCTCGTTACCGAAGTTCATCAGACATGTACAACTATCTAGCCTTATATATGCATATCCAATCAGGTGATGAGCACCTACTTTAAAAATAATTTCAAATAATATATATTTTACAGAAGTTTGATTAATGTTTTAATTAAGGGATATTGCATTTACTGCATCTTCACAGAATTTTAATGGTAGACTTTAAAAATTCATTTTAGGCATTTTAGTATCATAAACAACCTGCTGAGAATAAAAACAAGAGAATGATAGGCACAGATGCAAACAATTTAAGGCAAAGGGAGAATTATACAGACAGTGACCTTATCCTTAAAAATAAAGCAATAAAATTATTTAGAGTGGCCCAAAAGAACACAAAGAACAGAAACCCATAAAATTCAGGTAGAATGGTAAGAGATCCTTCTCCACAAACACAGCTCTGTAAGGCTACAAAACAGTCCCCTCAAGCACCCAAGCCCAAGCATTTGTAATCTAAATGACTTAGACTTCAGAAATGGCTAAAAGTGTGATTTTGGACTACCCAGGGTAGATCCCAATGAAGTGACATTCCAGGCTTTAATGTATATTTTCTTCTGAGAAAAATTATTATGTTAAGCTTGACTTTAGACCATATTTTTAATTTCCTGTAACTCCACGTTCAAATTTTCAATTATTCTGTAATCAGCTGGCAGGGCTTTTTTTTTAATTATTATTATTATTATTATTATTATTATTAATTTTTATTTTTCCTTTTTAAAAAATGTTAAAATTTTTTTTTCTTTTTTTTTTCCCTATATATAATTCAGATTTAATCTCAGTTCATTCCTGACTCTCTCTCTGGGAGTAACAACTAACAGGGAGACACCATCAATTTTCTTGAGGAACCTGCTAAACTGAAGGACATCTACATTGTTGCCATCTACTTTGCTGCCTATTTCTAACACTGAAGACATCACACTCTGCATGGATGGAGAGAAGCAGAACAGCCCCTTTTTCTATGAAGTACTCAGAAACCATGGAGAAACATATGAAGGGAACTTAGAAGTCTTGGTAGAAGGGTTTCTCCCATCTTTTTCTGGTATTCTTATGGAGGATCAGGACCTACTTTCCATAATGGATTGAGGATAAATGATGAGCCCTCTATCTTTCAGTGTTTCATTGAGACTAACATCCAAACACATACACATGATATCTTTGTTTCCTTGTGCTGAAAGACAGCAAAACAGAGGTCCTAGATTGTAACTGCAGAGGTTTATATTACCCACTGGACCATTAAGGAACTATTACAACCACTTTACCTTAACAATCTTTTTAATTAATCAGGTATCTCACTGCTGGTAAAGATGAGTTGCTGACAGCACTCCTAGTGTTATGCAGAACCAATGAATGCTGAACAAGTGCTGACTATCAATTCAGGCATACTCCAGTCTTTTTCTGTATCCTTTCAGCTCTTTCTTCTTTGGTTTCTGTATGGCACTTTGCAGATGCAGATCAGAGGGATTGTCCTTTTTCTAATTTGGTTCTTCAGCCTTGTGTATCTGTGGTGCAATACCCGTTGAAAAATTCTCTATTACCTCAGTCTTGCCCTTTCAGCATATTTGTCAGGCTTGACTTCTCAATTTCTTAAGCACAGCCCACCCCATTAAAAGCAGGAAGGGTTTTTACTTGTTCCTTATGAAAAGCATGATGCTGATTACATTGTCTTAGGGTATCGCCTTAATTTACTTAAGTTAACAAACTGATGAAGTAGTTTTTTGTTTTTTTTTTTTTTTAATTATTTAAAAATATTTTTCTTTCTTTCATTTTGGCAAAGAAACCTGGCTGGGTCCATACAGTCAGAACCCCTGTGGCTCTCAGTATCAGAGATAATTACAACAGGCACGCAGCCAAGCTTTATTTTTCCAAAAAAATTATTTATTTCTCTTAACAATGACATCTTTATCTTCAAACTTTCCAGAGGGGTCATTATGTATTGTATTCAGCTGAAGCTCCCATGCTGGGATGGAGCAAGATGAAAGGTTTGAATCTTTAATTAGGATTCTTTTTTTACCCAAATTTCCTGGTTAGAGCAGAAGGATGGGAATCAAAGAGACAGCTTTGTGTTCTCCCAGTGTATTTCCATCTGTCAGAAAGAAAGCATTTGGTTACTGAATTTTGTACTGTGACAAGAATCACTGATCCTATTTATTTGAGACTGGTTGATGAGCTTGAAACAGGAACAGAAATACAGAAATAATGCCAGGAATATGTGTGATTTCTGCATGGATCTCAGATGTCACGTGCTAGAAAATGCTGAGGCCTGGCGGTGTAAGATTTGAAAGTAATTTGACACCTTGTATAAAGTCTGGTCAAGTGTAGTAAATGTGCAATAACCCTGGAATGCTGAATTATATTTCCTTTGTGACATTTTCATCAGATCTCTATTCATTTGAAAGCTAAATTATCTTCTGGTTATGCAAAATGTCTGATTTATAAAAGGCAGATAATTTATATATGTATCTTGAGAGTTCTCAAGTGTCTGCTGTCTTGAGAACAAAAACCTCTAACCAAGTCTGGTTTGCTGATGCAGCAAAACTCATTTCCTGTAACAAATGTATTTATTTTAAGACCATGAAGGGACAATTTTTATTGTTCCAGGCTCTGGCAATCTCCCCTGCTCCAGTCCTTGAAGGGTAACGAGCTATTCAGAAACTTCTTGCTTGTAAAACCTGTGGTACTCATCAGAGGGGTAATGCCTCTGGGGCCTGTATGTTTGGATAATGGGCACAAGACTGTAGCTGTAGCAGAGAATAAACTTAACAGGCTGGACTGGAAACGGCTGAACAGTGGGGATTCAGCAATGAGATGGTTAATTTATTTGTATCTCTGTAGGTGCAGTAGGGGAGAGAGCCCTTCATGTGACTGCCTTGTAGGACAAAGTGGATGCTGCTCAACTTCGATGGAGGCAGCCCCAGAGCTTGTTATTGAAACAACATCTGAGCTGTAAACAGGTATAAATGCTGAGCTGAAAGGACAGTATCAAGATACCCAAATGATAGAAAATGATCCAATAATGATCCAGAACCGTGTTAGAGATTCACTGAGGATCTCAAAGAGCTACCAAAAATTACCTACTTGAGAATGTTTTATTTTATTGTCCCATGACTCAGTTTCTTGGTACATCTGGATACTCTGCTCTCACTCCAAGAGGTAAACTGTGTACCTACACTGTCTAAGAAACCTATGTACCTAAACTGTGTACTTATGATAATCTAAAAAGCCCATAAGTTAATTTTTTCCTTGAAATCTATCCCATTTTCAACTTTTTTTCACAGTTTCTCATTCTGATTTGATTTGTCTGGATTGATAATTGAGAAAGATCACATTGTGATGACCTCTGCAGACATGTTTCAGTGCTGTGAGGTGCAATATGGATTCAGATGATGCTGCTTTTCCTACCTGAAGCTCATTCTCACAGATGTTGCTACACAGACATGCCAGAGGAAGCAGTGTAAGCAGTCTTAGGGAGGAGCCTCCTCTATGAACAAACACAATCCCTGAGAGGAAAATGCATTTGAAGTTCTTGTACATTCATGTAGCCCTCAGGAGCAGTAGTATTTATTTTGTGGGTTCACCTAAATTTAAGGGTGAACATTACATTTTGCTCCATGAATTTTTCCAGGAGGATATCACCTTTTAGAATGATTTCACAGCAGCTCTGTGCATTGCATGAGAATTACATCCTCCTATTTCAGAAAAAGTCTGAAAAAAGTAGTGAATATAGCGATTTATGTGCGAAATCTAGCTATGGTCAGTTTCCTATTTATGAATAAGATTCTTCATTTCTCTGTGCCTCAATTTCTCCATCTGTAAAATACAAATTATTTCAGAACCATAAACAAAGGCTGATTCAAAATTTGGTGAAGTAACATTTCCAAGTACTTGAGATACTCACATAGAAGCTATTAGAGAAGTGTGAAAATATGAGTGGGAACAGAAGTGGAATAAACAAGGTGCTAAAACACTTTAATGAGAAATGCTGACAGTGAGTATTGTTCTTTTTGAGTGCCAATTTATTTCACAGTTGTAGTATCTGCTTTTGGGTCAAAGTAAAATGAACACTGCACAGATGATAAACCAGACCAGATCTTATGGTCCTTCCCACAGGACAAAACCCAGACTGTCTTCTACAAAGTCACTCCTAACAAGAAATGAGGTGAGAATCTTGAGAATTTCCTGAGACTTTAAAGAAATCCTACACTTCATCTCCCTTGTTCCATGGATACTCATCACTTATTCTCATGGAAATCTTTGAAAATCCTGTATTTTCCCAAGTATCTCTCAGTATATCTGTGGCTGTGCTGTGGATTTCTAGCTGTTGAAGTGCTCCTGGCACATTTGATATGGTGTGATAGACAATAAGGAAATCAAGTGTTGCAGGAGAGGCTGCTCCTCACAGTGCTGTGATGAAAGAAACCAGCAGTTTGGTGAAGGCGATAATGGAAAAAGGAGATGATGTCAAGAGTCCTCGGGCCACTGAATAAATTTGCAGACACAACCATTACAATCTCATCTACTTGGATATTCACCTGTGGGCTAAACTGCTCTGGTGTCTTTATTTCTGACATGCTAGCTGGGTGTCTTTGCATCTGTCCTCCTTTTCTTCCTCTTTCTATCAATCTGTCTAATCAGTAGCATGTCCGTGTGTCTTCCACAAACCCTAACTTCAGAATTGTCAAGGCAGGCAAATCTTGTCAGAGAACTTTTCTCCAGAAGTTTGGTCTTCATTAAAAAAAGAGGTAGTCTTTAGTTCATGTACCCTAGTGGAACTGTTACCCACAGGGAAATGCCTGCCTGAGCCTGCAGGCAGCCTGATACGGTGAAAAGAAGCACCAAACTTTAATCGCGGGTGTGAACTCCGTAATATAATGGTACTGACAAGAGCTGTTAATGGCTTCACTATCACCCATTACAACACTAATACAATTAATCTGTAGCTTCATACCAGATTTTCTCTTGTGCTCAAGAGTATTAGCTCTTCAGATGCAACTATAAAAAAATTCTGCAACCTCAACTGTGAATGGAATTATGCAATATGAGGTTCTGGTGTCTGTGGAAACAAAGTCAGCACAAATATTATCTAAAAACCTCCAGAAGGGCAGACTGTGCAAATGTATCCATATTGTTAATAATGTTTTCTTTTCAAATGGAACTGTTTTTCTCCGGGTCCACATGTATTATAAGGTGATATTTGATATCAGCTGTGGCTTCACAGTTTGTCCCTTCAATTCATACAGATCGCTTTGTGACAGTGATATTATTAATTTAAAATACAGCTGTCTGAAAGTATGTATATATGAAATATTCACATAATTTCTTATCTACTCTTTTGAAATTGAAGAACATTGCTCCAGAGTGCAGAGACTTGTGATTTTCTTTTCAAAGTTGTCTTTCCAATGTCTTTCACCTGTGAATGTATTTATTTCTTCCATTCTCTCCTGTAGTCTTCGTGTCATGGCACCTCTCATCACAACACATCATCTCATCTCTCCTAATCATACACTTCAAAAAAAGTATACAACAGCCATAGAGAACAAATTTTCAAAAAGGCCTCAAAAATTCGACAAAAAAAGGATTGAAATATGATAACCACAAGTGTAGGCTGAATATCAGGAAATATTTGTGACAGTAAAGAACTGGGGATATAAAGTATTAGGTAATTAGCAGACATTACAAAGCACTGGTCACTTAAAACTAGAGTAGAAAAAGTAAAGAATTATTATATGTTTGCTAACACTCAGTAAGGCTCTTTCTTGACACAAACCATCTATCTGCCTCTGATAAAAAACCCTCTCTTTGAAATGCTGGAACATTTCTGCTGACAGGATTTGACAAGCCAGAGAACATCAGCATAGTGCTTTGTTGCATGAGAGAATCATCTTTTCATTGTACTGTTAATCTGAATTATCCCTGAAGAGCAGAAAATCTCTGCAGGACAGATGTAAAAGAATGCAAATCCAAAACAACTGTTTTCATGTCTATATTCAATTTCAGTTTTCATTTCTCCAAATTCTATACCTTGCACTTTGTATTTCTTTTTATAAAGTTGGGGCTTTTCCTCAAGATGCTACTGGGCTGAAATGTCATTTAATAAAAACTGGAATAGTACAATAAGTGCCAATAGTTAATTTATGTTAGACAATGATCTGGCCACCATACTTGTGTGTCAGTGTTTCAATGCCACAACCTATGAGTGTAAGGAATTAAGTTTAGAAGAGAAATTTTCTACTACTTTTCATACTGACCCATCAATTCCTTTTCAGTCAAACATCTCTGTGGTGTATATATGTATATACCTGTGGTGTATGTATATATTATATTTATATATGACTGTACTATGTGTATATTAGAATTTATATCATTGTCTTTCCTGGCAACATCAAGATCTACTCCTACTGAAACTAACACCAGAGATCTTTCCATCCCATTGAGTTTTCAGTATTCTCCCTTAAAACTGTTACTGGTCCATTGTCTAATTTCAGATTAAAAAAGCATGAAAGCTTCCAAAAAATGGTCACTTATCTCTCCATCTACATGCTTAATGAAAGCAACTTTTCAGACAGTTAGATACCTTTCAGATGAAATCTGCTACAGATGGTGGTCTAATCTTACTCTTGATTACTTCACTGTTAATATAGTGACATTTCATTGAAGTAAAGGCATTTTAAATGAACTACTTTTATGAGGAAAAAAAATCTGTTTAAATAGAGCCATTATGAGGCTGAAGAACTCCTTTACATCCTACTCACACTATAAAATAAGATTGAAGTGGGATATAAGCCTTTCACTGCTTCTCTGTGCATGATGAACTGCTCTTACATGATGAATGCTAAGTAGGTACATCCACTCAGGTTCCATTTTGCCCTGTTAATAGAGATTGTAAATAGGAGGTAAGATTATAAACAGGGATTAAGATTAATATAAACTGTTTATTCCCTCTTTGTTTGTCCTTTCTAATGTTTGTAAACAATTATTATCTTTGTTATGCTTCCACTTGCATTTCATTATATGAATAGTTCTTTTTCTTCAACCCCCAAAATCAAGAGGAAATTTATCCTTTAACTCCTGCACCAAAATGAAACACTGAAAAAAAAGAACCCTGTTATAAACTATGCCTGTGGCTGTATGGCTTTGCAGAAAAGAGTCTGGGGGTCCTGATGGACCACAAGTTGAACATGAACAGTGTGCCCTTACCACAAATAAGGTTAATCCTGAGCTACATTAGGCAGAATGCTACCAGCAGGTCAAGGGAGTGATTCTTCCCATCTGCTCAGCTCTGATGAGGCACCACCTGGAGTCCTGTGCCCAGTTCTGGGCTTCCCAATGCAAGGGGGACATGGAGCTGCTGCACAGGGTCCAGAAAAAGGCCACTAAGACAATTTAGGGAGTGGAGATTCTTTCCTGTGAGGTAAGGCTGAGAGAACTGGGACTGTTCAACATGTACAGAAATCTGATGAGAGTGTTTAAAGAAGGCAGAGGCAGCCTCTTTCAGTGGTGTCCAATAGCAGAAAAAGAAGCAATCAGCACAAACTAAAATGCAGGAGGTTCCATCTGAACATCAGGAAATGTATTTTACTGTGAGGGTAATAAAGCACTGGAGCAGGTTGCCTAGAGAAGTTGGGCTTTGCAGCATTTTCTGTTGAGGCTGTAGGTCCAAAGCAGTTTCTTACTTTTAAAATTCTTCATGGGTTTGCTTGTTGTTTGTCTTTTATGTTCTTTCTGCCCACTCTGGAAGTTGTTCTTACTCCCCCTACCTCTCCTCTGATGAACATAAATCTTTCATGTGCTCAGTCTTTACTCTCTGCTATGACTTGATTCTTTTCAAAATGATTTTCTCTCTTTCTCAGGCAAACCCCCTAGACTAGTCTACTGCTTTTGCCTTCAGCAAATAATTTTGGCCTGTTGTTGTGGGAATTTCAGATGAAGTGGTGGTATGTAAATGGAGACAATTTTTGACACGGAGTCCTCCCCCTGGATCGTTTGAATGATTCAAACTCAGGGTGAAAAACATTCAGTCTAAGACACTGGTAGACTACAAACTTGAAGAAAATGAAATTAGTTCTCCAGTTTACATTCATTAGATTAGGGATAAATCTATACTTCTTTTTGCCTAATGCTGCCATCTAATCAGATGATTGAACAAGACAGAGGAGATCCAAGAATGGATCCTTGAGCTAACTTGGTATTCCAAAAAATGAAAAAGCAGGGGAGATTGATGACTGGGACATTAAGGATGCAATTACTTAAGAGTAGCTCATTATTGTGGGATCTCGATTACAACAGATTGATTTGAAGAGAGTACTGGAAGGGGTGGATGTTATTTTTTATTTCTCTCGTCAGATTAGAAGACTCAAAAATTCACATGGTTACATGCCCATGTGAATGGGATCACAGATCCCAGCTGATGTATGGAAATAACATCGAGTTGCTATGATGGAACACATACATCATAGTCTTGTGCAATCCCAACAGCACAATTAGAGTTATATAACAAATGACAGGATAATTTTACAGCATGACTATCCAGATCCACTAAAAGACTAGAACACCTAAATGCCCAAGCCTGTGATGCACTGTTGCTCTGCCTAATCTATTTCAGTGAGAAGATGCAGTTGTTTAAGATTTTGTTGACGGATGTATTTAGATCCTAGGATACTGCTGCTGTGCTTACCCATCAGATCACAAATATGTGACTTAAGAGTTTATCTTGTCTATGTTTGTTCTAGCTGTACCTTGTAAGGGACCTGATCTGATAGGTACTCTCTGAATATACCTAAAAACTCAAAGCAGGCATGGAAAAAACTGATACAAACCAGAAGTCATGAACCAATATATGGCACGTGGTAAGGCCTACCTTTGATAAGGCCAATAGGGAGACTAAAGTTCTGGATCACTTTAATTTTTAGACATTTTATATTTGTACATTCCTAACTGCGATTAAAATAACACTAAGAAATAGGCCCAGGATTTGTGACTTCTGCCCTTAGAGTTTCAGAAAATTGAAGTCACAGGTTCATTCTGTACTGTATTTAAGAAGGGTTTACAACCCAGGAATAGCTAGGTGCCTGATTATTCTGACAAGGTCCTGAACAAACAAAGGAAAACTGTGTTTAGGGAGGAAGTGGCAGACAGTGATATATTTTCCTTAATTAAGGTGACTCTTGCGAGTATTTAGTTTGAGATTTGGATAGCAAAGCTCACATAAAATTGATCTCATGTGGTTAAACTTGACTTATGGACCATTTTATGGTCTATTAGATTGATAATTCTGACTAAAAACTGCTTAGCATTGTAGAATGCCAATATAGGTGACTCCATGATTCTATAAAGATCCACTTTTTGAGAACTCTCACCCAGGGGTAGTCCTTGACAACTGGGAAAAAAGAGTGCACTTTCTATCTACATGGTATGTGTTCCTAAAAAAAAAAAAAAAATTATGTCAGAAGGATCAGAATGTCCTAGTAATCAAAGAACTCAATTGTGAAAGGCTTACAGTGATCTGTGGGTGAATAAGTCAGTGTAAGAGGCTCGTTTCCTGTCCATGTATAGTAATAGTGAGACTGGTTTTGTCTGTTCTTGATATTCTCCTCTTAAAAAGGAAGCCCAAACATGTGATGAAAAAGAGAACCATAGCAATGAAGGGAGAACTAAAAAAGATGTGTGACAGGGAGACATTTAAATATTTCAACTTTAGAGTATAAAGAAGTGAATATGTGATCCAATGATGGTGGAAAATGCAGAAATATCAGATCACAAACAGCTCTTTATACCAACTGGGTAGTGTAAAAGAAGTGCCAGGCAAACATCAATTAAAAATCATCATATCCATAGGAAAAAACAGTCCAAGGTATCTTGCAGATTCATTATTCCTGAATTAATCAAGATGAGATGCCTTTCTAGCAATGATTCTTCAGTCAAGTGTAAGGTAAACTCATCTGTGGGTCAAGAGGTGAAATGCAATGTCCTTGAGGGTAAAGATCAATGTTCCTTCTTCTGCCTTAATTTCCATGGCACTATTCTCATGGCTTTTTGTGAGAAGACTTGGTCTGATTTCTAGTACTTTGTATAACCTGCAGATGATATTTGGAGGCCCCATGTTCAGACCTGGGTCCACAAAAGGAGGGCTTATTCAGAGGATCTAAATTCAGGATATGAGTTCAGAAGAACAAAAGATATTTAGTCTCCTACTTGGTAGCTCTGATAGAGCAATAATATTTTACCTGTCCAAAAAAACCCAACCATTGCTTCTCAGTACAAACTCCAGGCAACCCAGCTGTTGACTGTTCTTACTGTAGTCCTCTTCATTGGGGAAACCCACATTTGTTTACCATGATAATTGTTATTAGTTTGTTCTTGTTATGAGTCCAGAGAGATGACAGGTTAAAATAGCAACAGTTTTACAACTTATAGTAGAGACACTAAGGGTATACTATAATTACTGTCCTTTTTAACAGAACAACATGAATAGATCTATTTTTAAATAGCTTATTTCAGATAGTGCCTTCTCATTCACATCTGTCGAACTAGCTGACTTGTCTGAATAAACCTGATTTTCTTATTTTTAATCTCCTGTTCACTTGCAGAGTCAGTATGCTTCAAAGAGGATTAGAGTCTGTTCTCAGCAACAGAATTGTTTATAAATGCTCAATCTGTTACAGCTGTCCAAATGTATGGGCAGTATAGGTTTGGTTAAAAGTTACCAGAATGCAGTGAGAGGGAGTTGTACAGATGTAACTAAAATTCTAGTATTAGCCAGCAGCGTGTATAATTTCTAGAATCACTGTAAACTAGAAAAAAAATCCAACCTTACTTAGCATGGCCTGAATTTAAGGGATTAGTTTTCAGAAGCAAACAGCTTTCCCACTGTTAGCTAAGTACACTTGGCCTTGTATAAGAAAAATAAATAATAGATCAAATTGTATTAACTGGTTGAGGCATAGATGCCAACCCATTACACTCATACTTGTGACTTGCTTTTATAGCAGTTGACTAAAGGACATTACATTACGTTATTCTTTTCATTCAAGGAACAGAGATCATGGAAGAAACCAGAAAGAAATCTCAATATGTTTTCATGAATCTGCATGTTTTAAGTGAGAATATTTCAAGAACAGAGTTTTCTTATCACTTGAAAAAGGGAAATGAAACAGCTAAGCTCCAAGGCTTTTAGAGAGCAGTTCTGTATTTCAGCACACCAGGGGGAGAAATTCCTCTTTGAACAGGTCCCAGTTACAGATCAGAAGGGTCTAGAAGACACAGTGATTTCTCATTAACTCAGTGCAACCCTTTCAGTAACACTGAAGTGGAACAGCTTCATACACACAGCACGATGACCTTGAATGCCAGAAAAAAAGTAAATTCCGAGAGAGGTGCCATTTTTTCCATAGATTAGAAAAGTGAAGGATTAGACTAGCTTTCTAGTTGGGCATGAGGTTTGCTCTTCCATACTGTTTTTTAATGATATCCAGAGATTCAAATTTGCATGGGATCTGCAATCCTTAGGATGCTCAATACCTATGAATAGTTGCTAGCATGAAAAACATGTGATAGTTGATTTCATTGCTTTTCTAGCATTACCTGGTTTCAGAAAAAAGAAAGAATCAGTTTTGCCTTGAACCCAAATCTATTGCCTAGCTGCATCTGTATGTGTAAAAGTTGTGTAGCTGACTGTTGAGAGAGTAAGCCAAAGGCAGGATTGATTCAGTCTGGCTGCCTTCACTTAGAGTATCCCTCAGGTAGACTTGGCTGGAATTCCTGACCAAGGAATATCCAGTGGTAGGGACAGTTCTTTCTTTGTTTGCTTATTAAAGGTAAGTTCCTTGGTGTTGCTCATCATTTCCTACCACACCCAGAGGTTTCACTCAAGTTCATAACATACAAATTTTCTGGGACTAAGGAAGCTACAGCAGCTTCTTTCTTTCTAGAGAGCCCTAAGTGCTGAACATATTTGTACTAAACAGGTAGCCTCTTTCAGCATTTCTCTCCATGAAGCAGCTTGTGTTCCCTAAATTAGCCCTAATATAGTACTGCACTAAGTTTATATCTTTCCATTTAAAAAAAACCAAACCCAAACAAATAAAACCCAAACAGGGTCTGCAAACCATTTCACCTGCATGTGCACTGAGGGTACTCAGGTTCAAAACATAGAAATTCCTCTGTAAGTCAGACCATCACGGAGCCTTTGTCAACATCATTTCAGGTATGGATGCAAAAATCTTAGTTTCCATGCTTGTCTTTGAACACTCTGGTGAGCAGGGCCTGTTTCTGACATGCCATGGCTCAGTGAGGCAGGGAGTGCACAGGCATGTAGCTCCTGGCTGAGAATTTCACTTGGCTGCCAAAGCGGCATAGGTGGGAACTTGCTTGCCCGACATGCTCTTTGGCAGCACAACACATTAACTGACATACCGGTGCAGATCCAATTATCTGTCTGGGAGGCTCTCCAGCAACTGACAGTAAAAAGGCAGGTTCAAGGAACCTCATCAGGAATAATTACAAAACAGCTTGCCTTAAGGTGAAGTTTCTTCCTGTTTCCAGACAGTGAGAAGTTGGTGTTCAAGCTATTAGTCTTAGCAATATATTCTTTTTAACTATAGCTATGACTCTTCTGAGCTTTCATACAAATGCCTAATGCCCTCAAGAAGATCTATGCATTGATCCTTGTGCATTTAATTTACTCATTATTCTTATACATTGCATACTACAGAAATCATACAGAGTAAAGGCGGGCAATAACTTGTTTATCTCCCATTACTCCTCTGGCAAACAATATGGTTCTGTAAGAGTTTTTGGCATTGTTTCTCACTATTCTGGTGAAGGACAGATATCAGGTGCCTAGGTGAGCCCCACTCCTTTCCCTCCTGATCCTTATCCCTACCTGTTGAGGGTGCTCATATACTACAGAACATCCCAGATGACTGTGGAAACAGAATGCAGCATTTCTGTTTTCAGACAATTGAGAAAAGTAAGGTCAGGCTATTTCTAACATTTTTACCATGACTGCCTTTCCTCCATGCTTGGAGAGTTGAGGAGTGATATGATGACAAATAACAAAAGTTGCATTGCAACATCAGAACCTTTGCATTCCAAGCTACGGAAGAAAACAAGCACTTGAAAATAAGGAACAGACTGCGAATAAAGAGAATGGAGAGACTTCTTAGAGAAAAGGGTTATCCATTTGCAGTCAGTTTGTGATGCCAAGTCTGTCCCTGTGCAGTTCTAGCCACAGCCATGACATCTTGACACTTGACTTAGAAATATCATGGGGACGTTTCAACACGCCTCAGAAGAGGAGGAAGAGGAGATCTAAGATGGCTAATCACTACATGACTTCCTTGGTATAGCAAATAAATCCCTTTCCTCTGACTGTGAAAACGACTTTGCAATATACTTCCTATGCTAATGTTGTACGGTTAGAACTACCACCATGCAGGTTACTTCACTGCAGCTCCCCATAAGGGCCTACTAGACCTCATTGACAATAGAATAAGATTCAGACAAGGCTCCCATTTTGTCTTCCATTGCATGAACAGAAAGAGACTATTTATTTTCTGCATATAAATTTCCAGGCTGAAAAGAGGCCATAGGATTTGAACCAGATTGCTATTTTTTCCACTGATCCTGGCCACCCAAGGCATGGAAAAGAAAGGCTGCCGCATTTCCCCAAATGGCACATAGAACTTCTAGAATACACTCATATATGAAGATGCGTATATGCACTGTTGTCCTCTGGTGAATATATATGGAAGGTGCTAGAGACCACAGATTCCCCTCAACATCTTGTGCTCAATATGCTTTCTGAAGAGGACAACACTTCTTCTGTCTCAGATGCCGTGGGTGGAGCTGACAGTCAGTCAGCATACACAGCACTGGATGTGTGAGTATTACAAGTTTACAGAAACCCCTTAAAAAGCACAGACTGAAATTTTCTGGGGTTGGACTCTAGTCTGATGTGTGGGGTTTTTTTAAACCTTCACACTCTCTTTGTACTGCCATGAATGTTTTATTCATGTTTCCTTGCATTGTTTTTGTATTGACTTTTTTATATCTTGAAAGAATGTCCTTCTATTCTCCCTCTTCAGCTAAAAAATATTAATGATAATGTTGCTCTAATGGTATAACAAAGAGCCTGAACTGTGTTGGCTATTCTAAAGTAACTATTCTGGAGCACTTCCCATCATATTATTGGACTCTTGAATCACTATTAAACATGGTTTAGACCGAGAGCCTTCAATTGCTGGGTTGACTGGGGGAATCCTTAAATCTGCACAGGAGTAGTATCTGAAGTACTTGTGATATTCTAACCTTGACAGCTGGGGAAATACAGTAAGTTCATGACTAGGTCACAGTGAGCCAGCAGATGAGCACAGATTGGAACAGTCAGGGTTATTTCCTCTCTAGACACAAAAAGGTATCATCATTGGGGTCTTGTTTAACAGGGTTTTCCATTTCCTTCCTATGTATTGATGAGGTAGCAAGTGTATAGTTTTCCCCAAGTGTATGAGTTTTCCTCTCAAGCTCAGCTTCATGTTTTCTTACTCCTGCATAGGGATAGATAGAGAGATACAGTCTTGAAACTCCGCCCCTTCTCAAAGCAGATCTTTCCTTAAGTCTGTCTGAAGAGGTACCTAAGCTCTGTCATTCTGGTCACTCTCATGTACCTCAACCAAAGAACATAGTTGATCTCAAGGACATTGCTAATGCTTTTTTTAAGGACTGAAGTGACTCGTGGGACCGGTACCATTCCCTGATCACTCTTGACAAAAACTTGTGAGAGTTTCACCTTCCTTGTTCCAATTGTCTATTTAAAGTTCAGTACTATAGGCCTGCATTTTCTTCAAAAACAATAGTCAAGCAGCTGTGCCCGAGGGCCAGGGTGAGAAAATGAAGAAGTATTTTTCAATAGCAAAGGGTTTTGGATTTTGTCACAATCTTCAGTGTCTGTAAGGGGGTCAGAAGAGAACAAAATCCAAATGCTGGGTACTCAGGATTTCAGAGTATCACATCTTTCCTCGCAAGAATGGGCTTGTGAGAACCAGAACCTATTTGTTTTCCTCTTTACTTGCAGATCCAGCAGGATGGGTTCTACGAATCCTTATTTATCCATTCTGTTGCAGTCCCATAAACAGAGTTGCATAGCACCGAGGATGGACTGTTCCTCACATAACCAGAAAAGATCAGTAATTTCCATCATGGAGCAGACCCAAGAACAGCATGTGAAATAGCATTGAATTTTGAACCCTTTACTCTCAACCTCTTTACCAGGTAACGTGTTATCGCTTACCACATATTGTGCACCAGCTGGAACTTCAGTTCTGGACTGAGCTGGCATACCAAGTGATAGCCTCGTGCTCCATCTGAATAATAATCTCTCAGACCATTCTTCTGAAAAAAAATGCTAATTTTTTGTTGCCTTTATTATGTCTTTGTAGCTTTTCTGGGCTCTTGGCCATAGATAAAGCCTGCTGATGACTTTGTAAAGTTGTCAGATACCTTTTGTTGGCAGAGAAGAGGCAACAGGTGCTTGTGATCTGTCCAAGTTATTATTCCATCTCTGCCCCATGTTATTATAACCTTCCCACCCCAAACCCATTCCCAGTGTACGATGTCAGCCACATTTAATTGTCACCAGTCATTTAGCTCTGCTTTCAAATCTTAGCAAGGCTTTGTTTTTGTTCGTGGAAGAGGACATGTAGTGTGCACTCTGTGTGCATTGTCTTCAAGTAGCATACTGATACTTTTTTTCTTACAGTGAAAATCCCTCTGAATTCCCCCAGAACCTTTCCAGAGTTTGAGACTAGCAGAATAAGGATGGTGTAAACATCACACTTCAACTGGTTCAAGTTGATTCAAATGGACTCGCATGAGCTGGATGCTGTTTAGAATCTTCTTTTGGTGACCAACGAGGGTGATGCCAATACGCTGGATATCTCTGCAAAAGAACAAAGGACATGGAAATTGTTAAAATGGGCTGCTTTGTTCTGAATGGTCTCAGTCCATTTTGCTGTACATCCAAATCAATGTGCATGGATATATATGTGTGTATATCTGTGTATTCTGAGAAACAGCTGAAAAGGCTTCTGCTTTTGCTTGACAAATGTGTGTGGGTGGAGGGGGGTGTTGGCAGAACTTGGCAGGTACAAAAAGAAGCAGTGGAAGTGGGCCACAAAAAGGGTCAGAGGATTGGAACTCCTCTCCTATGAAAAAAAAGGGGAGTTGGAGTTGTTCAGCCAGGAGAAGAGAAGGCTCCAGAAAGACCTTCTTGCAGCCTTTCAGTATATAAAGGGGGCTTACAAGAAAGATGGAGAAAGACTTTTTACCAGGCCCTGAAGTGACAGGACAAGGGGCAACAGTTCCAAACTGAAAGAGGGAGTTCTAGAGACATAAGAAAGGGTGGTGAGACACTGAAACAGGTTGCCAGAAGAAGTTGTGGATGCCCCATCCCTGCAACTATTCAGCATCAGGTTGGACAGGGCTCTGAGAAACATCATCTAATGAAAGGTGTCCCTGCTCATGGCAAGGGTATTAGACTAGATAATCTTTAAAGGTCCCTTCCAACCCAAACCATTTTATGATTCCAAGAACGTTCCTTTTCCTGGCTCCTGTCTTCTATGTAACAATTCAGTCCAGTACATGGTGTGGCTGATTCTACACATCTACTTAAAAGTGGTTATTACCTGTGGTAGCTGTCATGAACATTCTGATGTAATAGTTTCTGTGCAACACTGAGAATATGTTTTCTAATGCACACTGCATAAGTACTAGTGCTTATAGAAACACACTACAAATGTATCATGGTATGGATGATGTCCAGAGACTCTAGTAATATGTAAGAAACAGCAGCTACTTTTCTCTGGCTTCCCTTTCCTTTTTCATGTGTATGTTATTCTCCACATAGCCCTTACTGAACATTTCTCAGACTGCTTTCACTTTCTGCGTGGAAAACTCAGTGTCTGGTATCTTTTGCTCTCTGTCCCACTACTTACTCGAGAGTCATGCGTGATATGACATCAAATGTCATCAGACCAGCCTGGTCAAAATTCTCCTTGTAACGGCCCATCTTGATAGCATCCAACCACTCATGGGCATTGCTGAGTGAAGGGAAATCTGGAGGACAGTTGCTCAGGAGAGGCTGAGATGGTCTGTAAAAAGAGGCAGGTTCTAAAACCCAAGTTATCAACTTCAGCTGACCACACTAGTACAGTAAGAGTTATGAGAGAAAGAGGACACAACCTCTGAAGAGTACAGAATGAAGAACAATGGTATTTGTTCTTCATGCCCTGATTCCTAAAGTCCCACTGTGATATGCTGTTTCTTGGCTCCCTCTGTCCCCTTTTCTGCCTAAAAACAGCCATACAAACCCAAGAAATTTATCCTTCCAATTGCTCATACTTGCTCAGGCACATTCTTTACTTGTTTCCCATAATCTTTTCACACTTTCTGGGTCTAGGCCTTGTAGCTGGGCAAAGAGCTGCACATTTCTAAAGGAGAGATGAGACCTTATTTACCTTTTTACCTTTGTGACTAATTCTGCCTCTCCTAAATGCTTTCCTTGGATCAGATAGTAACCTATGAGACAATGAGTGTGTTGTTTCAGCTCCAACACCCATCAGATAAAAGCACAGTAGTAAAAGGCCAAAGAAATGACTGTTCACACATGGCATTTGCTCTTTTCCCCATCGTCTGAATCTGTCCCAAAGCTGTAACACTTGCTGCTTTTAGTAAACCAGAAATCACTAGATACTTCCCCTCCCCCAGCTGTGGAGTACATTCCACAGAGACAAGATTTATAACCACAGGGAAAAGCCCTCCAGGCCAGCAGGATGTAATTTCGTCATCAGCCCAGCAGTCATCTAACCTTGGCACCATTTATTCCCCAGAGTCTTCTCCTTTGACCTCCTGTCCCTTGTTCCATCATGCTGCAAAATGCAGTTGGGAAAATATGGGATGCGAGCTGCAGTTCTAATTATTATTTTCTATAAATTTTCTTCTCTCCTTAAGCTAAGGTCTTCTTTTCCTTCATCATCTCTTGTGGTCACACAGTATCGTGTGATCACAGAATATCTTATGCAGCTGCACCCAGATATGTCCCCTCCCTTCGTTCCCTAAGATCCCTCTCTCATTCATCCTCAGTGCAACTCATTGAGATTTATCTCCTGTCACATTCAGCACTCACGACTCCTCATCACCCATTAAATGAATCAGGATACATATTTTTTTCAACCTGCTTTCCCTTTTTTTTTTTACTTCCTTTTTGTTTCCAGTCTCAGACGGGAGGGTTGGAAAAAAAATCATATAGCCTGATTTATTGTTTTCTGTTCCTCATGATGTGTATCAAGAGACAAGTCCTATTATTTTGCATTTAATCCTCATCTCACCTGCTGGTCCCAGTGCCAATAGCTTTGAGGGCAGATGGCTTGCGAATCATTTTATCTAGGGCACTGACTATCTGCTCAAACTTGGGTCTCTGAACTCGTTCCTTCTGCCAGCAGTCAAGCATCAGCAGGTGCAAAACAGTTGGGCAGTCTGGGGGTGGTGGCAGGCGATAGTCCTGGTCAATGGCATTAATTACCTGCAGGAAAAGAAGAACAAGGCTTTATCGTGGCTGGGAAAATAAAAGACAAAAGACCTTCAATGACTTGGTGTGTATGGCTTTCCTCTGCTTGAATTGATACAGAACAGAGAGGCAGATGTACATTCTCACCACTTCTGAAACTTACATCCTGATTGGACATGTCCCAGTAAGGCCTTTCACCATACGACATCACCTCCCACATTACAATGCCATAGCTCCAGACATCACTGGAGGAGGTGAACTTGCGATACTGGATAGCTTCAGGGGCAGTCCAACGGATAGGGATCTTGCAGCCCTAGAAAGCAGACAGAAAGCAACCATAAGGTTAGTGAGATATTCACTATTTGTGAAAATGACATCAGTGAAACAGCACAACACAACTCTGAGCATAGGGCGACAGTACAGTTGATTCTGTCTTGTAGACATTGTTGGTTTAAATTCAAACTATGTTCAAGGTTTCAACCTTGTTTTATTGACAAATCTAGATGAAAAGAGAGAATCATCCCTCCTTTCTGCTACAAATACCATGATATTAACTTTCACACCTCTACTTTACACTGAAAGCAGCATACAGTAAAAGCCTCCTGGAAGTCACAATCATTTGGAAATCTAAAGCCATTTAAATAATCCCAACCTGCAACACTACACTCAGTGGCTAGCATTAGGTTCTTTCTCTTTCCATCTTGACCTCTCTGACTGCAGGTATGACCTGCAAGATGAAGTATCATTCAGGTGCTGGTTCTTCAAAATAAACATATCTAAAAATTGTTTCACTTCTCAATGACTGAATTCTTCTGCATCCCCCTCATCTTCAACTCACCTGTTATACTCCCACCCTTTTTGTAGTATGTGTAGAAGATGGTAGAACTTCATAGACAATAAGTTCATTTGATGGTTGGTTATAAGCCCATAAATATACTTAGGCCATTTATCTTTTCTGTAGGAAAAAAACCTGGTGGTACAGGATTTCAATCTCTTTCAGTCCTTTATCCTTCCTGTAAAAAGCTAATGGAATGGGGGAAGATAACAGCTACATCAGGCTATGAAGTTTGACCTATTCACCATCATGCCAAAAAGAACAGCACCAAAACTTCACCTGGCAGAGTGAATCAGATATTGCTATCTTTGTTTTTTGCTGGTTTGGAACAAATAGCCCCAGAGATAGAAGGCTCTACTCCACTGTTCTCTATGTTCTCAGGATGGACTAAAAAGGGTACACCAAAACAAGGAGGAACACAGAAAATAACTACAGCTGTCAGCACTGCTGACTAATTCACAGCATTGCAGTAACTCACCAGACCTCCAGTATAGGTGGGATTTGAAGCATCATCCTCCAGAAAGCGGGACAAACCAAAGTCTGACACCTTGCACACCAGGTTACTGTTGACTAAGATGTTACGTGCTGCCAGGTCACGATGCACATAGTTCATGTCGGAAAGGTAGCGCATACCAGCTGCAATCCCCCGTAGCATTCCCACCAGCTGTAACACACTGAACTGTCCCTCCTTCTGCTGCAAGTGAGGAGGCAAACAGAGGCTTTTATGACCACAAAACACAAAGCCAACAGGGAAGATTAATAAAGAGCAAGGTAACAAGGCAGATTTATGAAGTTAGGGAACATAAATCTTAACTTCAGCCAAAATCTGAAGGTTAAGGGACAGCGAATAAGAAAGAAGGGCGTGCTTAAAGCAATGAATCTCAAATGAAATCAGACACTAGTAGTTATCTTTTTCTGAAGGCAATTCTCCTCTTGTAGTCACATTTTCCTTTAGCATCCTATGTCCAGTCGCACTGAGATGGCTAAATGAATGTCAGTAGACAAATCTGCTCTTACAAACATCTTTACAATTGGCTCTATGCAGTTCTACACAATGGGTTCATGGACTCTTCAAAATGTACCTGCCAAAGTATTTGTGGTTGAATTAGTGTATGAACCACTAAAAAAGAGAAATGAAGCATCTATACTAAAAAGATGCCTGCATTTATGTTTCATTACTAGAAAAAGCACTGAAAACTATGATTCAAAAAATAACTGCAAGATTCATTACTTCATTACAATGTTGAAACTTGAAAATATTCTGTGGAATAAAGACTTAAAAACATTACTAGAAAGGCAAACTTTGGAACATACACATAAGCAACTGAAAGGCTGTGTACAAAGATAAACAATTTGGTACTGTTTACATTAATTATTGGAGTTTGAGAAGTCTAAAATAATGAAAAAATGTTATATGGTGGTTGAGCTTTTGAAATATTTTCACCATGATGGTCCAAAACCACTTACTCTGGTAATTTGCTATTATTTCTATGGCACCTGAAGAGGGCAATTGAGGACTTAAAGAGATAGGAGTGAAAAGGAAGAGCAGGCAAAATTATCAGATCTGAGACTGGCACACAGCAAGATGAAGAGGTAACAATTGTGGGAGACTCTGGTTGTGGTACCCTGAGGAAGGAATCCAGTGATCCGTTCTCCATGAACTCTGTGACAATCATGACTGGTCGGCTCTTGGTGACCACACCCTCCAGGTGGATGACATTGGGATGCTCAAACTGCCCCATGATGCTGGCCTCGCTCAGGAACTCCCGCCGCTGTTCCTCCGTGTAACCTGACTTCAAGGTCTTAATAGCTACTGTGTATTCACGCTTCCCTGGGTGTTTTAGGCGCCCAAAGCACACCTCTCCAAACTCTCCTGTCAGGGAGGGAAGAAACACACCTCAAGTAAGGAAACAGCAATGAATTTTAGTCAGGTGTACTAAAGCATTCTACTGTGGATGACTTCAGGCGCCGTTTGGAAATAGGGTTACTAGGACTGTTCAGATTAAGATAAAGTTCTTGATGAAGACTGGAGACTACATATTCAGGGTTCAAATGAGAAGTTCTGAGTTTTAGGGTGTTTTAAACTTGGTTTGGAGCCAGCATCTAAGGGTAAGTAGGTTAAGATGAATTTTGGTAAAAATGAAGGTTAGCTATCCTGGCACTTGAGGTACCATGGATCCATGGGTCCATTTCAGACCCACAGTGTGCCAGGTCTCAAGGTGAACAAGAAGGTAGTTTAAAATCTGAAGATTCTCATACTACCTGATCCAATGACCTCCTCAATCTTGATGAGAGACACATCGATCTCCTTGGCAAATTCTCGAATAGCTTCATTTGGATCTTCATAGGTTGAAGGATCAATATAATACTTCACTCCGAGTCCTGCAGTGGAGAAGACAGCCCAAAACATCACCAGAATCAAACCCTGAGACAGATAGGCGTTAATGATTCCTGAAAAGAGACAGGCCCTTGCCACCTGTTGCTCAAAACCACTTACCTCGTGCACCGATATACTGCTGCAGGCGGTCTGTGTATGGAGTCTCTCGCCTTTTACTGCAGGACATAAAGGAAAGTAAAGTCAAAACACACACAAGAGTCTCTCCTAGATGTCGGGGTAGGCTTCTCAATGCAAGGCTCAGAGAATCCTTGAATTTAGGGACACAAGATGGGTGTTAAGATCCTGTCCATCTCCAGGTAACCAGTACATGCTTGTTTTCTATGTGGTAGTTTTTACACCACTGTTTGCATCCCCACTTTAGATATGACAAATGAGAGGGCCTCCATCACTATCCTGAAAAAAGATATTACAGTTTAACATCGCTGTCCTGGAAATTATCTTGCTATTCAGGCTAAATTTGCATTTTAATTTCACCAAATTAAAACAAATTATTCTTTTTGATAGTAATCTAAGCCATCTCCTATGATGCTTTTTAAGTTCTTTGAAAACATTCTAAGAGCCATTTACTCTAATACTTAATTTGTATGATTTTCCCAATTGTTTTTCCTCCTGGACTCTTAACAGCATTTATGTTGGCAATTCTTTTCATAAGTATGGTACCCAAATACAACAACAAAGAGGCAGAGGTACAGAAATCTGTTCCATGATGGGATTCTTGCATGTGCAGATCAAAACAGGTATGGCCTCTATTACTGTAATATTTATTGCATATATGCAACCAATTTCCAGTAAGCATATGTCCTTCTCAAAACAGGCACTTCTCAGATTTTATTCTTTTAAATGTGTGCAATTCAAGCATTTTTTCCCACACAATCTAATTATTTTCTAAGTTTCATCCTATTCTTTGTTTGCTCTAGATACATTTTCCAGTTTCAATCCACTTTCTTTGTTACCAACAGCAATCATTTTTTCCCCAAAAAATCTACAATTCATGCTAGTTTATAATCATCATATTAATAAGATGAGATTGTAAATCAAACTCTGTGGTATCCTGCAGTAGCCCTGCTGTATGCATGGATTTGTGTCAACCCATATGTTTTGCTGTTTCAGCACAAGACCTTTTAGCTGCTGATTCAACTAGCATCTGAAGGCAGAGTATCATGAAACGTTATGTTATTTTTCCTTAGGAACATCGCTAATTCTGTCATTCTAACAGATAACTGTATTATTTTGAGAACACAGACAATTCTACCTTCAAATTCTGTTCTGTTGCACAGAGCAATTGGCTTTACTGGGGCACATACCTAAGAGCTCTAACGCCGCTGTTGCACCTTAAAGTCAGGTCTACTTTAATGTTTTTTTTACTGATTATCTAACATATTAATGATTTCCCATCATTAAAAATACCCAAAACAATTAGCTAAAATAGGTGTTTCACATTGCATATTGCCTGAAAAATGTGTATCAACACTTTATAAAAACAAGTTAAAGTTATAGCCTTTGACTCCACATATGTTCAACTTTTTAAAGAACTACTCATTTCACATGGTGTTCCTCATTTCCTGCATCTTCAAACTGACTTTTAAAATAGAAATTCAGTATCTCCACTTTTTCTGAACAATTGTCTATTAATTGTACATTATCCTTTAAGTATAAATGAATCTTTTTTTAATAGTACTTCCTTATATGTATATTTACAGATACCCATTAATGTCTTTATCCAACACAGTTTTGGTAGTATTAACTTATTCTGGGTTTGGTTTATTTTTTTTAGAAAAATATATGTTTTATTGAGTTGTGCACATAATATCACATTTCCAGCTGTAACAAGAAATGATATTTTTAACAGTTCAAAGCTACAAAAGAAGGCAACAATTCAATTATAACAATATTTGATAATTCTTTTCTTTCTAGAGAGAAAAATATTAAAAGAGAATATACACAGAAGGAGAAAACAAATGCAGAATAGGGAAGACAACAAAAAAAGAAATCATTAAAACCAGAAGTCAATTTCTAAAGTTAAGTAGTTTATACAATTTTTAGGTCAGCAGAAAAAGCTAAAAAGTCCCTCTTGTGCAGAGGCACAGTAGAGCAAAGATATAGAATCCATTACTGACAATCTAGGGGATTAAGTTCAAACCTCAGTAAATTCAAGGAGCAGGTAATGACCATTTCTTTTCTTCAAATAACAAACCCCCCTTTGTTTACTTTCGTACCTCTACAAAAGTAGCAACCCTTACTTTTTTCTCTTTAAAATTTGTCCTTCTATTTTTACTATAGCAGATTATCTCTACAATTACTTATACGCCCTTTATTCTTTCCAAAATGGAAAGTGGTGTTTACTTTCTTTAACGTATATTTTATGAATTAATATTCCATGGAACCATTGGGGTTGTATAGATTTTACTTTTCAGCAAATGAGCCCTTGGTTCTTGGTGACAGGGTATTTAGCACTTTCTAAATAATCTGAATACTTATCTCACCACTCCTTCTCCACTCCATTGTTTCATTCTCCACTTGCTTGCCTAAAATGCAATTTACAGTCCCTTCTTTAAAATGATACGTTTAAATACCTTTAGAGCATCAGCTTTAAAATACTTTCTTTGTGTTCATATTGCTAACTAGCCAAATATCAGCTAAGTACGTGAGTGGTTTACCAAAGGAGAGGCTCCTCAGATAGGAATAATGGGGCAGATCTTTCCTTAATTACAAAATGGCATCTCAAGGACATCTGGATAAATGTAGATCAGGCTGTTTCCCTTGGGACGGGGTTATGTTGCGGGGGTAAGAAAGTTCCACTGTCTGAAGTGCACATGAGCAGGTCAAGGAATTCACCTCTTGAAGATGATGGCAAGGATGGCAATGGCAGCAATTACCAAGAAGGCTAGACCACCGAGTGCTGAGCCCACGATAAGCGGCAGTCGGTCCTGCACCATCTCCGAACGCTCCCCTAGAAAGGAAGACATGTGCATACACACATACAAATGCAGAGGACAGCAACTGTTAGAGTTTCCCTTCTACTCAGCTAGGTCTCACCCATAATTCCATCCCTACCAGCCCTTTGCTTCCCAGTCACTGTGTTTCTCCAGTGCCTTCCTTTCTACTTCTGAAAAGCCAGTGCTCCCTCTGAATCCACTTTTCCATCCCCCGCTCCACTGACACCTGACTACTCACTTAAGTATAGGCAAGCTCTACACCTGGGCTTTGATCCCATTGTCACCATCTAATTTAGCTTGCAGATGACACAGATGAGTACCTTTGATCCATACAAATGGATTCCATACTGCTGGAAAGCAAGCTTCCCCATACATGCCTGTGCCTCATCTATCCTTCTGTCCTGTGTCCCATCTGTCTTTAAGACTTTTACAGAGCTTTCAGCTGTAAGATGTCTCATGAGACATCCCGTGTCCCATGTAAGATGTCCAGCTGGAAGTCAAGCTACAGCATTGTATAGTGCTATGTACTGCAACATCCCTCTAAAGAGAGTTCTACTGACACACTCTGCTCCCGCTGGTCAGAGTTACAGACGCAACAGGGGAGTATGGCAGTAGTGTAAACAATACACTCTGATAGTATGGAGCTTCTTTGAGTGAACAAATCTGCATATGCAAATTATGATATACAGAAATACAAGTTGAGTTAGGAGTGTCTGGTAGCAGTCCTCCAGAGGATAAGCTAATACACTCAGGGACACACACAAGCGAAAGATGATCATGTACAGATCTGAGTACAAAATGGTAGCACTTACCTCCTGTTAAAGTCTGGAAATACATCTTCCCACTGTATGGGCCATAGCCCACTGCTGTTCTAGCTCGTACTTGGAAGGCATAGATCTTGCCTGGGCTCAAACTTGATATGGTGGCCATGTTGGTTTCACTAGTTAAGGTGAATGAATTATCCTCATCTTCTGCCTGTGAATGTCAGTGACCAAAAAAGAATGTGAAAATTCTGCCCTCGCTGCTCGCTCTCCTCATCAAGGCATGGTAGTTTCCATGTCAGCCCAATATTCTTTGAACCTGTTACAGAGCCTCCCAATCACAGCTGCTATTCCAGACATTACTTTCCCACACACTACTTGTTCCTCACTGCTGTTTTTCATTCCCTTAGGCTTCTGTTAAAGACTCCATAGGCTCTTCAATCTAAACGAGAGTGAGAGACAAAACTACCTTGTCCTGTGATTTGCTTTCTACAAACTCCAAACTCATGTATTCTCCTAGGAGAATTCAGAGTAAGAACACGTGTAATGCTGTATCCAGGAAGCTGCTAGACATCACAAATCCCTAGACAGTCCCTTTTACCACTAGAAAAACAGTAGCCCTGCACAATTCTGCAAAAATATTTATGTGAAAGATCAAGAATATGGAATGGGGGCTTATCTGAATAGCCCCACATACCTCTTCCCCTCAAATCAGAAGGATTAGGAGTCACAAAACGTGAATGGAGGACAACTTTGTATTTGCCATCCTGTAATTCCAGCACAGAAAAGGTAACTGGTATTTACCACTTAGCGAATGAAAGAGTGCATTCCTCCTTAAAAATTTTCTTGAAGACATCTGCCCAGGCATAAATGGGGACACACGACTTCCCCTCACAAACACGACAGACTTTTGCAGTGAGTCCAATTCCAATAAACACATTTAGAGAATTGAACTCCTTCTGCTGTTACCTGTGTCAGCTGGTGCTAAACTTATTGTTAGTCACAGCTTTTAAGCTTAAGCAAGTGTCTTCTATTTGTTTTAATTTGCAATGTCCATAGAGGTTTCCACGTTGGGAAATGCACATGGACTGATGTCCGATGAAGTGTGTATTACTTCTGGTAATAATTCTGCTACAGTTTGTTCTTTCCTCCTCTGTTCTTTCCTCCACCTTGTTCATTCTGATCCAGGGGTGCATCTCCCAGACAGGAGATTTCTCTGTTCCTTATAGAACGATCAGCACAGTATCACTTCCTACTCACCTTATCAAAGTAGCGTAGCTGGTAATCCAGGATTACTCCATTGGGCTGATCTGGCTGAGGCCATGACAGTGTGATGCTATTGGTAGTACGACTCACCTGATGCATCATAGGGACTGCAGAGGGGACTGAAATAAAAGAGAGAAAGGAGAGATTGCAAAGGGATAAGCTTAACAATGAACTATGATTGAATATTCATTACGATGAGTTAATAAGTTAGGTCAGCTTTTCCTTTAATTTCCTGTAATTTGCATTAAGTGTTTTGTAGAATAACCAGAAGAAATCTGGCACATTATTACTCTGCTGGGAGATACAGTCATTGGCAACATGGACAGAAAGAAAATGAAGAAATCCACATCCAACTGATCATGCACAGGAGCTAAATTATCTATATTGTAGCAGCAACATAATTCTGATCTTCCAACTCGCTATTTTCACATTAAGACGAGAAGGTGTTCAGTGCCACTACCTTGTTTTAAGATCACACTTAGACAAAGAATGTGATAGTGGTCAGAACAAAAGCAGAGCACACTACCTCCATTCTGCTTCCCCCCAGATTCTTTGCCTGAGGGAAAAAAATCAAGTATGGTCCACCAGAGCAATGAGGCCTTTCACTACCAGATCACTGGAGCAAACCAGAAGACAGAGGCAGATGGGACCAGTGCCGCATTAAGGAACAGACTTTGGAGCATGCCTCTGTTCAGTTGCAGATACCAGAGAATGAAAGCACTCCATTTTCCTAGTCTGGCATGCAACCTTGTGTTCAGACCAGCTCCTGGATCTCAGACCAATCTCTGTCAGGCCTGCTGCCTAGATGTCAAAACTTTTACTGTATTTGAGACTCTCAGTCCAGTCTGAATGGGCTTCTAACTATCACTGCTGCCTGGGACCACCACCTAAAGGTCACTGTTAAGTGTGCATGTGTAGAAACGTCACATACAGTTTTTTCTGACTGTTCTTTTAAATAGTTTGCCAACTTTCTGTCTTTGGTAAACACGGCAGTCTGGAATACTACCCAGATGAAATTGATGGCTCACTTGATTACATTATGATATTAAGTACTTAGATACTAATTACTGGGGAAAATGTCAACTTCCCTTTATGTAGAAAGCAAGGGTCTGGACATAACAAACATAAATGAGGGATTTAAAAGCATGAATCTGAATCAGAAAGCAAAGAAGAACTTTTGTCTACCAACTTTAGAAAACTTTTGATTGGTTGTTCTTAAAGCCTCAAGTTCAGTTCAAGACTTTGAGAATTGTGTAACTGCCATTAATTCTCTCTAACTTGGAACTCATTAAATCAGTAGGCAGGAAACACAATACAATCTTGAAGATAATATGAGTAACAATTTCAAATACTGTTCACTGAACCAAGATTAGATTACAATGAAAAACAATACAAGGGACTACTTGGGGTAGGTTTGCTTTTCATTTTTTTATCTTCTTAGAGGCACCATTCACATGTTCTCAAGACACCAGAGGTTCAGAACACCTATTTAATAGCAGGTCCTCTCCTAAAGTAGTTAGCTCGTAAAAAAAATGTCCTCAGAGTAGGAAGGGAGATGAATGGCTGTTAAAGCCACTTGCATGTGAAGTTTTCTGGAGAATGGAATTCCATTTCTACCAAAAACATCCATGAATCCATGTGCTCACACATGCATACTCCCCAGGTTCATGCAAAAGTTAAAAGAATGTGAGTTACACCTTAGGAAGAGCTTTTCAAGCAAACATTCCAGTATAATTGTAAGAGGATCTTTCAGCCTACCAGCTGTCTGTCCACAAAGCTCTTAAGTTCTGCTTTCTCTCTGCAAGCAAAAAGTCATGTTGCCAAGAAACCTCAAGTAGAGCAGCTAGGGAATCCTCATTTTCCTAATGGATGCAACATTTTCAGCAATGTTTAAATTTTCCAGAAAAAGAATACCAGTGAAAAGCTGTCACCTAACTTCACTGGTTTTACAAAACAGACAAACCCCATAGACTTCCTTGATGTGAGGAATGAAGCAGAGAAATTTGGCAAATGAGCAAAACCTGCAGAAAAGTATTTTCTTCCTCATTAATTGTGAGAAAGATAAAAGAAATGTTTTTAATAACAAGATAAAATTATTCAGAAAAACGTAATTCAGATGGGCTTCAAACAGCTCGGGCAAGTGGGAACTAATTTAAAAATGTAAATGAAACAAGAATGTAAGAGTATAAACAATAAAATGCTTTCTCTCCTCCTTATTCCTTTTATTTTTTACCATTGCTTGTCTTTCAAACAAGACTGCACAACTAGTTCACCTGAGATAACTTGTCAGTTAACACTTGATCAAGACAGATTCTGCTACATTTTAAGGTTACAAAAAGTTTAACTCCCTTGTTAAAGGGAGTTAAAGCACACACCTGGAGAGGAGCAAACCTAAATACACAACAACACTGCCATGGAAGAGCCCACCTCCTTCTAGTTTTGGATGACGATTTTGCAGAATGAGCAGAGTTAAATCTCCCCTCAATTCCTCTCCTTCCCCCCTCCAACAGTTATTCTTCCCACCCTTCTCATTCCTTCCTGATCCCAAATTTTTCCCCTACCTGGAAGAAATAATCAAAGTCAATTAGCAACATTTCACCTGCATCTTAGTAAAAAACATATCCATTCTGACATGAATACGTGCTATGAATTTTTAGCTACCCATCAACAGGCTATCTTTTGCCAGCAGTACAGAGACTCAAGCTGGCACTGTGCATAGCACATTTAGGCACAGCAAAATCTGCAACAGAACAATGATGTTAAATGGTACTCTCCTCAGACAGGCAGTATACAGAAGCAGGTTATAACTACTTGAATTAGACATACTGGAAAACAGAACAAAAAATCACTCAAGTGTATCTTTTAACCATGTGCCACAGCATTCTAGAATCTTCCTACTATACAGGTATGTCCATCACTTGGGGTAGTCACATGGTGGTGGTGGGTATGACCAGGATAATGCAGTCTGTTGTATTAAAAAATACTAATTTCAGTGATATGTACCTAATAAGCAGACAACACTTAAGGAAAAAGTAAGTATTCTTAGTAAATAAAGTAAGTATTCTTATTCAGTAAAAATTCTCAGAAATAAAACCAGATACAATTCAAAGCAAGGCAGGTTGACTTTAATCTGCCTCTCCAAGACAGAGTTCAGATTTTGATACGTGTGCCTCTCTTTTAAGGAAAAAAATTACAAAACACTGGCCAGGGAGCTCTCCTGTCACTTCAAGTAAAAGAGATATCAAGATTTCTCCACTGAAAAATGTTATACAACATGATGTGAATATTAATACTAAGGTGATGTGAAATGTGAATGTAATTGTTGGTGGACTAAGTACATTTTTCCTGTCAGAAGTGTATTATAAAGTTACTCTCTCAGTGTTAATACATTAAGAAATACAAATTTCAAGGCTTTATGTCTATAGACATTCAAACTATCATACCTCTGCTGGCACAGAAGTGCTAGATGAATACTTTCCTTAGTATGCATGCCAACTATCAAAAATGTTTATAACAGAACTTTGCTTTCAAAGCTTTGTTTTGTATACACAAATGTGTTCAGCTCTGTGTTGATTTGTCACTTTTATTAATTTTGTTCTTTTCATGTGGGGTTTATAAATGTAGCCATGTTAGGTCCCTGTCTAATGACCACTGAAATCACAGGGCCTGATTCAATCCAGTGTGGGTAGCTGTATTAGATGATCATTGTAGGTTAATTCCAACTATTCTATTCTATTCTATTCTATTCTATTCTATTCTATTCTATTCTATTCTATTCTATTCTATTCTATTCTATTCTATTCACTGAGATGAAAAAACATGCTGTGAGATCAGACCTCTAAGTAAGACTGAAAAAGCAGTGTTTTTGTATACTATTCATAAAATAGCAAATGGAAAATTCTCCCATATATAGACCTAGTTAAAACAGTCCAAACACCAGTTAAATTCAACTCCCAGGTTCTATATTCTGTGAGTTGTCAGTTGCAACTCTTCTACATTGTGGGTCATCCTGGTATCAGTGGATAAAGTGGATTTAAGATAGTTTGAGCACCTTGAAAATGCTACATTCTCTGAGTTACTAATGTTTGACAAGTTTCAGCTGTTTTCTAATAAAGGTGATGTCCTTGGCTGTGGTATCTGCTTCGGCCAGTAACACATGCCTGCAAGACTAAAAAATCTAATCTCAATCAACAGATTAGTAGAGGAAGGAAGGTGAAGGAAGTGCAGACTCTTATAACAGTACATGGAGATTCTTACTTATGCAGAGCACAGTCAAGTGCCATTCTCAGTAGACCAGGAACATCTCTGGCATGTAACATTCAATCCATGTTCCATACAGCTATTCAGGAGAGCAGATGTGGCCCCTGCTTGGAGGAGTCCCATGGCATAAGGCCCGGGAGAAAAGAGTGGATCTAAAAAAGCTAGTTCATACGCATGGGTTATCTCTTCCACGTGCAAAAGCTATTCATCCCAACAAGCAGGAATTCAGGCAAAAAATGCCAGGAGGCCTGCATGTTTGAACAAGGAGCTCCTAGCTAAACTCTAACACAAAAAAGGAAGAATACAGAGTGGGACAGGTAGCCTGGGAGGAACAGAGAGGCACTGTCCAAACATGTAGACACATGGCTGGGAAAGCCAAAGCCTGCCTGGAATCACATCTGGCAACTGAGGTCAAAAGCAAGAAGGGTTTCTCTAAGTACAGAAGTGGCTAAAGGAAGACCAGAGAAAATGTGGGCCTACTGCTGGGTGGCACGGGGTCCTGGTGACACAGGGTATCTTCTTCCCATCAGTCTTTATCAGCAAGACTGGCCTTTACAAACTCCAGTTCTTGCAGACCTGGGGGAATGCTGAAGCAAGGAAGACTTTCTTCCTCATATCAGATCAGGTGACTAAATATTTACACAAACTATATAATTTCACAAGCCCTGGTCAGATACATCCATCAGGGAGCTGGCTGATGTCATTTTGAGGCCACCCGTGATAATCTTTGAAGCATCGTGGTGATTATGAGAGGGCGCCTGAGAACTAGTGGAAAACAAATGTCGTTCCTCTCCTCAACAAGGGCAAGAAGGAGGCGGCTAATCCTCATCTGCACCCCTGGGAAGATGAAACAACTAAT